GCTGGGCCTGATCCCTTGGTTGTCCTGCAATCCCTGCTCTTGCTTAAAGGGTGGAAAAGCATTGAACAGCTTATATATTTCTGTACATAGGGTGTAAATACCTACAAAACCAGAACAGGATTACCAGGCTGAACTGCCGATTGTCACAATGTGACCCTATGGTAAAAGGGAACATACTGTGTTTTGGCCAACTTCTGCGATTAAGTGGTGTTTTTTTTGTTGTAGTGAGAGGTGATCAGTTAAGAATGTTGTTATGTTTATGAAAATAAAGGTCTCAAACTATCAGTGTGCTTTTCTGATTTCAAATAGGTCTTTGTTGTTATTATTGTTCTTGTTATTATTACTATTTCTTTTTTAAAATGTATTTGGATGGTTGCTATTTTGAAAGTATAAGCCAGAGAAAATTGAACATCTCTTGAGACAAGAGAAATGTGCGCTTACATTTGTAGAACTAAGTACTCTTAAGGATTTTTGATAGGTCGTCATGACCCAGTTCCACTTTGTAAATGCTGGTATTACAGCAAAGAAGTTGCAGCTGTTGGTGTGGTGGTGTGTGGGAGTGTATTTATTATTATTTTTCTGGTAACTTTATGCTTTCTTCTTATGTCTAGGAGTTTCTTTTAACGCTCGCTCTCTCCAATTGTCTCTTGATCTTTTTTTAAAGTGCTCCCTCTTGTGTTAATGACAGCATGGTCTTTACTGTTGCAGTGTTGGTTACCAAATCAGTTTGAATAAAGCACATGCTATTAGTGTTTAAAGGAATTGTATTTTTCCCCTCCTGAGTGTTCAAGTGTTGTTCTGGGCCTACGTTGGTTTGCACAGCTCTCTGGATATCAAGACTTCTGATTTTTCTTGCTTTTGGAGGTTTCTTTGCAATTTTATTCAGCTGGTGTCTGTGTCTCTTTGCTTTTGTTGCTGCCAATGTGCTAGTAACAACTAAAACTGTTATTGTCTGTCTGTCTTCTTCAGGTCTTAAAATATTTTTAATAACATCATGCATTTGGGCTCCACTGGTGATCCATTTCAGAACCTGAAATTAAAATTTACTGTAATTACAGCAGAGCCTGCTGTTGTAATGATCTCCACGTTTAAGTATTATTAATGTAATATAATCTTATGTCTAAGCATTACTAAGGAGTTACTGATTAGCCAGATTTCATGTAAATACAAAGGTGGATATATTCAAGCAGATTGACCGCAAAGCTGTGGTGGTGCTATGATATTATTGTAAATGTTGTATTATCGCAGTGAGAGCATGATAGTAGTCATAATAAACCTTAATAAAGCCTATGTAGCAAGAGATCGGTGTATACCTAAAGATGTTGATTTTGTTACCATTGGGATGTGGCTGCCTGAGGGAGAATGGAAAGATGCAACTTCCTCATGGTCTAGACCACTGGGTGTGGTCTAGAGCACTGTTACTCATGATTTACAAAATTCTTGTACCACGGAAGGAACTTAGGAGTATTTCCTACTTTACAGATGAGAAAACTGAGTTATAGTTGCTGAATGACCAACTGATTTCACTTCTCTTAACAGATGTTCGATAAAACCCATTTTCTCTAATCTCCACTGTGTGATTTGGTAGCAGCTAAAAGCTGCAGCCTTTGCAATAGTCTCCTGCTTTAGGACAAGAGAAAACAAATTCTAACCAGAGAAATGTTACAAAACTTCATAGGTTCCCTAGCAGCAGCATGCTGTTGGACTGGGGTTTTTCATCTCTAGTGTGTAGTAGGTAGGGAACAGCTGTGATTTATGAGCCCTCTGTTCCCGTGGGCAGATACGCTGCCTGAGAAATACTGAATGTATATGTATTAATGCAGCTCATACTGGATAAGCACCAGTGTAAGAGCGCCTTTTCCGTATGTATTTTCTATGAAGGAAAAAATATTAACAATAACTTTCTGAAAGCTTTCAAGAGTACGACAGAGGCAGAGATCAATGGTTTTCTTGTTCTTGCGTGCTAAGATGATAAATAGGCCTTCAAGACACTGAGAAGGTATTTAAAAAAACAAACAAACAAACACTAAAAAACACACAGGGAAAGCCACTGAACTGACCTCAAAGAAGCTGCTGGCTGGAGGAAAATCTGAGTGAGATAGGAAAATGGAAAATTAATGGAGGTTTACTTGTATGCAGTATGTTTGAGACAGCAAGTGTGTTGCGCAACAGGTTATTTAGGCCTTAAGTGACTTCTCATGTATGTATGTATGTATATAACTTGAACCTGTTTTACATATACCAATTCCTTCTTCCTCACCCCTCGAAAAGTAGAGGTTATTTTTCAGTGCTTAGATTCTTCTATTTCAGGTTTGAGGGTTTTTCCTCCTTTTTCATACCACATAAACGATGTGAAATCTTTCATTTGACTAATTACCTTTATCTAGTGGTTAGTCTGGTTTTATGCAAGTTCATTTGCACACACTTGGTGACTGCTTTCTCTTTATGACTTAAGGGTAAAATACTTATATAAGTATATACATATCTATATATATGTGTGTATATATATACACTCCTGCTCCGGTCGGTTTGCATTGTTTATGCTGTGAGAGCCTGGTGGCTCTGTATGGGCTACTTCCCTATACCAGTCATGTCGTGTGATCTGCACCTCTCTATAGGAGTCTTTGTGTTAAATTTCTGTTTAAATTTGTGTTAAATTCAAAGATTACTACCTGAGAACTGTAATCTTGTGGCCATAAAGGTTAACGGACCTTTCAAAATGCTTCTCCCATGTTTTTCATTCAGTACAGTTATCAGCATAGAAATCTTTGCTGTAGCAAAGTAGATGATGTGAAAACATAATGATGGGGAAGAGAAAGTGCCTGCATGAAGTTCGGGTCGATGCTTTGTCCTTCAGTTTCTTGCCTTCAGTGGGTATGATTGGGGATGACTTTCCACTGTGAAGGATTAGGGCCAAGGAAGGTACTTTCCAGGTCATATTGGAAGAGAGGAGATAATAGATGATGTGAAAACATAATGATGGGGAAGAGAAAGTGCCTGCATGAAGTTCGGGTCGATGCTTTGTCCTTCAGTTTCTTGCCTTCAGTGGGTATGATTGGGGATGACTTTCCACTGTGAAGGATTAGGGCCAAGGAAGGTACTTTTCCAGGTCATATTGGAAGAGAGGACATAACAAGTTGATAACCCCTCTGTATTCTCAATTTTGTTGAAGACCAAAGTACAGTTTTAGTTGCAAGTATGCATAGGTCACAGTTCCTGGAGCCACACAAAGACAACAGTTATGTTCGCTTTAGATAAGTATTTCCATGAGTCATAGAACTAAATGAGGTTTGACTTCCCACCTGCCCCCCAGTCTTTTTTTTTGTCTTAAGCATGACTGATTTTGGTATCTAAAAAAAAAAAATAAAAAAAAAGGGCTCCAGTTGAAACTTTCCTTATGCTTGGATGAAATACAAGGGCTCCCCTCTATGGATTTACTGGCATCAAGGGGTGGGTGGGGTTGAAGGCAACCTTTCTGTGAGTGGAGGAGGATCTTCTATAGAATCACCTATTTTCATAGAATCATAGAATAGTGTGGGTTGGAAGGGACCTTTAAAGGTCATCTAGTCCAACTCCCCTACAGTGAGCAGGGACATCTGCAACTAGATCAGGTTGCTCACAGCCCCTGTCTAACCTGACCTTGAATGTTTCCAGGCATGGGGCATCTACCACCTCTCTGGGCAACCTAGGCCAGTGTTTCAACATCCTCATGTGAAAAAATTGCTTCCTTCTGTCTAATCTAAATCTGCCCTCTTTTAGTTTAAAACCATTACCCCTTGTCCTGTCGCAACAGGCCCTGCTAAAACGTCTGTCCCCATATTTCTTAGAAGCCCCCTCGAAGTACTGGAAGGCTGCAAGAAGGTCTCCCTGGAGCCTTCTATTCCCCAGGCTGAACAACCCCAACTCTCTCAGCCTTTCTTCATAGGAGAGGTGTTCCATCCCTCTGATAATTTTTGTGGCCTCCTCTGGACCTGCTCCAACAGGTCCATGTCTTTCCTGTGCTGAGGGCTCCAGAGCTGGGTGGGATCTCACCAGAGTGGAGTAGAGGGGCAGAATCCCCTCCCTTGACCTGCTGGCCACGCTGCTTTGGATGCAGCCCAGGACGCAGTTGGCCTTCTGGGCTCCGAGTGCACATTGCCGGCTCTTGTCCAGGTTTTCATCTACCAGTACCCCTGAGACTTTCTCAGCAGAGCTGTTCTCGATCCCTTCATCCCCCAGCCTCTTTTGATACCAGGGGTTGCCCTGACCCAGGTGCAGGACCCTGCACTTGGCCTTGTTGAACCTTTTGAATTTTATTTTAATAAAACGCATGGGTATTTTTGTATCTATACTACCTCTGTTCATTCTAGGGAGGAAGATAATTGAAGTGGGATTCCATAAATATTTCCTTTAGGAAGCGGGCGGAATCCCCTCCCTTGACCTGCTGGCCACGCTGCTTTGGATGCAGCCCAGGACGCAGTTGGCCTTCTGGGCTCCGAGTGCACATTGCCGGCTCTTGTCCAGGTTTTCATCTACCAGTACCCCTGAGACTTTCTCAGCAGAGCTGTTCTCGATCCCTTCATCCCCCAGCCTCTTTTGATACCAGGGGTTGCCCTGACCCAGGTGCAGGACCCTGCACTTGGCCTTGTTGAACCTTTTGAATTTTATTTTAATAAAACGCATGGGTATTTTTGTATCTATACTACCTCTGTTCATTCTAGGGAGGAAGATAATTGAAGTGGGATTCCATAAATATTTCCTTTAGGAAGCTATGCTCATAAAAAAATAATTTTTTTAGTGCTTACGATGGCAAAGAAAACTTGTGAATGTGAATAGTGGGGAATGGATGCATGTGCTAGTGTCTGAACCAGTGGAGAGGCTGCAGGAGGAGCTGAAGTAGTCATTTTGGCAAACAGTGCTGGCTGGTATAAACCAGGGCTGTCTGAAGGAAGGAGCTCTGCTTCTTCTGTGCCCCTGAATTAGTGTATTTTATAATAATTTATAATAATTTAAAGCGTCAAAGGTCGTATTTTTTACTTTTCTCTTTTATGTGAGTACAAATTTTGAAGCTTATTTTTTCAGGGGTAAGCCACCAGCTTTTCAGAAAGTGCCATGTATGGCAAGAAAGTCAATTCAGTCTTGCTGCTGACCTTGGCCTTGGCCTGTCCCCTTCTGCTAGCAGGCGTTAGGGCTTCTCATTAGTGCTCATGAAAAAGGTCCGAGCAGCCTTTGCTATGTGCCTGCTTCACTGGACCTTGTTTACAATCTTTACTTGCAGCATGAAGGTGCTCTTGAGGTCTGCCTTAAATTTTTAATTGCTTAAGTCTATCTTGGACTGTGTTCATACTATACATCAAATGTCCAATGACTAGTGTAATGTCCCTGGGCTACTGCAGTGTTAAAAGGGGTTTGGGGCTTGTCCAGTTTCCAGGACTGGGAATAAAGGGTTTTAAAACCTGCAGACTTTGAAATCTTAACCAATGTAGGGGAATTGTATTTCTCAACACTTTTTACAAGCCTTCTCAATGCTTTCCTGAAACCCGTGTGGTTTCAGGTTTAGGCACTGTTGGATATAACTGAGGATACAAGAGTTTGTAATTTTGTCAACAGTAAGAATTGTTTGATCCAACTCCAGCAAAAATGTTGTGAGACATAATATCTCTGAAATTACATGAGGACTTAAGAAATTACATTGCAGCATGAGGCTTGCTCTGCTGAGTAAAGAAACTGCTAATTAATGTGGAGGGGTTTAGCTTTTCTTTATTTTTTCTTTTTTCCTGTCTTCTTCTCTAGGAATGTTTCGGAAAAATGAAGATTTGACTCCATCACAGAGGTGCTTGGCTGTAAGGTAGGCTTTCAGACATCTCTGAGAGTTTCATTTCTGGGGGTGGGGAGAAGCTGGTGTTTGGTGTGCTATGTTAATACTCTCTGGGATTGCTACAGTTCACATTCAAGATAGAGAGTTTACAAACTCATGTAAAACAGATCCATGCTTTTTATATTTGTAGCTTAATTTGTACATCTATTCTCAAAAATACCGCTAGAAGTAGGTTTTATTCTTATTTGAGAAAATCATTCGAAGATCTATACAGTCTATGCAGATTAATGCCATATCAGATAGGAGACTAGTTAACACTTAGTACACATATAAAGTAGCTGGTGGAGGAACATGCTTGTTTAATTCTGGGTTTTTGGTATTTAACTTAACCTTTTCTCCTTTCTTTATTTAGGAGACTTGAAAATAGTATGTTGTCCTGGGCAAAACAGTCTTGACTTGAGGCATTTTCCTGCCAGTTAACAACAAACCTTTGTTTACTGATTCAGTTATTGAGGAAAAAAAGGAAAACATAAACAGTTGAAAAACAGTTAGGGAAACACCCTTCCTTCTCCTTCCCCAGGCTCAGCTTCAGCCAGATGCCTCTATTGGGCAAGGAGGGAGTCACCAGAGTTCTGGAGATCTGTCTGAAAACGCTCAGTATGCGTTGGAAAGAAATGCTGTGTGTAGAATGTTTTAAGTTGTGATTACAAAAGACACATAAACTGCTATTCTACATGAGGTTTTTACTGCAGTTAGAGTAAGCAATAACATGGAGTATGACTTTTCCTACTGTGGAAATTCTGTAGAACTACACGTTCCATCTCACAAGTTGCTTGTCTTTGAATTACAGACGCATGCCAAGTCTACTGGAGTATTTAAGTTACAACTGTAATTTCATGGGTATCCTGGCAGGCCCGTTATGCTCTTACAAAGACTATATTACTTTCATTGAAGGCAGATCATACCAACTGCAACAGTCTGAAGCAAATGGGAAGGAAGATACAAACTATGAACAAACGGATCCTTCTCCAAATGTAAGATGTATGACTTGCAGTGCCAATGCTTACGTAATCGTTGCATGAAAAGCTTGGTTTGCACCGTTCGTTTACAGGCATAACTTCTGAGCTGTTTCTGGAGTTCATTCATCAACAGTATAGCTCCCTGTTTAAGAAGTTAAATGCTTATTTTTTTTAAGGCAGGTTTTCTCCATGGTTTCCAGTCTGGATCTTGTGGATAAAAGCAGACTAAATCGGAGCTTCCTAACAAGCTTATATGGTAAAAAGTAGTCTTTAAATTAAAACAGTTTATGCATGTTTCCTTCAAAGCATAAAAAAAGTCTTGGTAAGGACAAAGTGCACAATTTGTCATTTGAAAGCTGATGAGACTTAAAAGTTCCAGTAAGGTTTCATAAGCATTCTGAAAATCTACTGTTTTTTAATGTCTCCTTGCAGCAAGTAGAAAACATTCATGTGTAACAAGTTGAAAAACACTCACAGAAATAGTTTCATTTTTCTTCTTTTCATTCATGTAGAGAGGTACTAAGGATGGATTTTCATCTGAAGGTGTTGTAAAAGATGTACTAGCCTAGCACTACGGCTAGTAATCCATACAACATATTTCTTTTTTTGCTTTGTTCTGTTACTGGAAAAGAGACCAAATACATACAGAAGGAAGTCCAGTTGACCATACCTTACAAGAGATACTGTATGGCATGGATTAAAAGCAAAAGCTTCCGAAGCTTGTTGCTTTTAAAGTTTAATCCAATTAGTTTAATGCTCAGGGTACTGAATATTATCTTTTCACTCTTTTCATATTCTCTTAAATAGGAGTCTATCAGACTTTTAAATTTGTGTGTGCCTGAGATAATTATTACCACACATACAAAGCAGAGTTATCATGGAGTTGACTGGAACACTTCAGATAAATAGCTTTTGATAATTCCAGTGCCAATTACCTGTTTTCTGCTTATCTTATGGACCACCAGCTGTTGCTGGAGCAGATGAAGGCATTCCCACATACAACTGCTTGTCACGTCCTACCATCTGGAGGTTACCATCCCCACAGCTGGGCTAACAGGGAGTGCTTCCCAATCAGTTGTGTCATCTCCAGCCACTTCCATCCTTTGAATGTGGATGAGGACTCTTTGCACGTTCCATTCTACCCGTCTTGTGTGGTTGTAGTAACTCGCACCACAGGAATGTAAACTAGTGGCTGGAGGATGATAACACTTTAAACCTCTCCACATCTTGACAAAGTAACTAAGCTCATAGAAGTGTGCTGTGGAGCAAGTACTTGGGAAGGGAGAAAGACACAAGAGAATTCCTTGCATAGATTGGTACCGTGTAGTCTGTAGCCTGCACTGATGTGCTGTATTGGCAAAGTGGCAGGCAGTTCTTCTGTTTTTAGACATCGTGTCGGCTCAGTATAGGCATCGCACTGATGTGCTGTATTGGCAAAGTGGCAGGCACTTCTTCTGTTTTTAGACATCGTGTTGGCTCAGTATAGGCATCGTGTCTTACGTACTAAAATCCTATTTCTGCAGAAAAATAGTGTAGTAAAATTATTGCAAATAAATAGAACTAACCAAATTCACCAGTATCAGTACTTCTAGACATGCATCTACTAACTGCTTGGTAGGACTTCCGAGTTTTTACCGCATAATCTTGTTAGCAATCTGAACAGAGTAGAAATAAATGTAAACCTATCATGGATTCTTCTTTCAGGTAAGCAGTTTTCCTTAAAATTAATTGCTCTTAAGAAGCTTGAAACTTTTTGCGATTTATGCTGCATTAGGTTTTGGCATAAAAATAAAGAGAAACTGTCTATGTTGTTGATACTTCATCTCCTAACTGGTGTTAGAGAAATCTAGCTTCATTCTATAACACCAGAGAGTAGTGTGTGCTTTTGGAGAAATATGGGTGATACAATTTTACTGCATTTGCTGCATCAATTAAAATACTCATTGTCTTGTTCTAGAAAAATGTTTAAAAAGCATTAATACTTTAAATTTATTCCTTGATTCTCATGTTGTTATTTCAAGAAGAATAAATTGTTAGGTAACTCAAAATATGAAATGTAATGGGGATCAGCAAATGTTAATCTAGTAAATGGAAAAAAAAATCCTTCAGCTGAGTTACAATAAGTTTCATTTCTGAGTAGTTCATGCCAGCCTCCCCCTCTATACCCTGTGTTGACTGCATGATGTTACCTTGGTTTAGTATTTTTGCTGTGTTCATTGCATGTGAAATGACTCTAGTTAACGTATTAAAACTTATTTCTTATATCCCTCCTATTGTGCCTTTTTGCAAGCTATCAATTGTTGGTGCTCAAAGTGGTGTCAACTCTCAGAAATTAATATCTGTCTTTGTAAGTTTCTTTTTATTATGGCTACCCTTAAAATACAAGATTCCTGTCAGCAGATATCTGCTTTCTTGCTTATTATCCAGACTCTTCCTACAGGTTATAAAGTTCTTGCTTAATTACCTGTAATTTTTACCTGAGGTGCTAACCTCCTCAAAATAGTATGTTTTAACACAGCTCAATATTATATTGAGCTCCTTATTGATAGATTATCAACAGAGAAGAATAACAGATTCATTCAAATAAAAAGTTAAAAGATCCTGTTCTACTTTTTGGTATATATTTATATATATGTTATACATGTTTATACAATAATATCTTTCTAAAATTCCTGAGCTTAGTGAATGTTTTGCCTTTATTGCTTCAATTAGAAAGTTGTTCCTGAACTCCTTTCTCTTTCAACCTAATTATATTCCCATCTAATGAATGCACATTTGCTTTTGTCCTGGCATTGTCTTTTAGGTTAAGTACCTTATTACCTTCTTCGTGTTGGCCACATTTGATATTTTTACACAGTTATGCTCAGTTTTTGTTCATCAAAGCTAAATGAGCCAAGCCTTTCTACCTTTTTGTTGTAAAATACATTTTATGTTCTACTTCATGTGAGATCAGTTATCCTGCAGCTTAAGTTCTTTTACTTCCTTAACAGAACAGTTGCTTTGGGGAAGTGTAGTTTTTGAGTTATTCCACAATAACCAGGTGTTACTTTTCAACTTGATATGTTGAAAACTTTAAAGAGTGAATGAAATTAAACTTTAAACTTTTAAATTAGTTACTTCATCCTTGTAAAAACTGAGCAGCCCTCCTGTGAATGTGCAATCCAGTGATCACCCATTTACGCCCTGGCAGAGAAGCTTGTATCAATAACCTAGTTAATTAAGCATTAGGAAGTGAATTAATGTTTTACCAAATGCATTTCTATACATAGTTGAGCTATAGATTATTTTGGTGTCAGGTAAGGACTTCTGTTTCTGCATAAATGTATTCAAAACTGGAGTGCTAGAAACAATCCTCAGGCTGTAATTTTATAATATTTAGGCCAATCCAAGTATAAACTCTTGCTGAATCTGGTAGGTCCTGGCTGTTTGTGCTGGGTCCTTTGCTTATTGTAGCAAATACTGCACTGCGTCGTGGCCCGATTCAGATCATTTGATACAGTCTAAAACTCATTTGTCATAAAAAAAAAAATTGTAGAAATACATCATTTAAATACTTTATAAACAGATTAAAACACCTTCCTCCTACAGTATTTTTTCTACAACTACAAATTGAAAACTGGAGAGTTTATATTTTAAAGTACAATTTATAGCAGAACCCCGTATGAGTTGATTATTTTTTTCTTAAGATAAATTTTTTTGAAACTCTGCTGCTTTTCTTTAAAAGAAAAGAGCTTTCACCTCCGTGATTTAGCTAAAAACCTTCAAAGAGGTAGTAAGCATATTGTGTTGAATAGGCAGACTAATGATTTGTATTTACTAATAGAAAAACTGGTAAATAGTAAAAAGCAGGCCTTTAAACAGATAATGTTTCCTTATAAGTTGCCAGAACATATTTTGAGGCTTTATAGAGATCTTCAAATGGAAAAAACCTATTTTATATTTTTATGTTTATACTTTTAAGTTGCATGTTAATGTTACCAGCCTAGAAATACTGTTTCTCAGGCTTAAATTGAACAAGACTTTAAATTACTGCTTAGACTACTGAAGTTAAGTCCTTGCAACTGTCTTCAGAACTTTGGGGTGATGCCTTTCAGTATTAACAAATATCTAACTTTTGCAGACATTGCATACCAAAATTAAAGATTTATTAATGTTGTTAATAACTGATTTTCTGAACATTAATTTCTGTTTAAATTCCTGAAGGAGTTAAGCCAACTAAACTTTTCCTTTGCTCTGGCAAAAAGAGAGATGAATTAATAGTTGCTAGAAAAACAAAGGAAAATTTTTAGAAAGTTAATGCCTTTTACTTTTAACTTCCGTAAAACAGTAAAATATTAAAATGAAGTTTATTAGAAAGCAAGTAGAAACAAATAATTAAACACCAGGTTTAGCTGATAATAGGTAGTTGCCTCCTGAATTTTCTAGTCTGTTTAATTGTCTGGGTTTTCGGATCCTCTCTGAAATATCTTCTGAGGTGAGCCACCTGAAATATATGCCATATCCAAAGTTACCCTCACTATTTTACAGTTTTTCCAAGTCTAATTTTTTTTTATCCGCTTGCACCACCTCTTAATCTGTGTGACTGAGTGAATCTTTGATACTGCGTGTCTTGCAGAAATCTGTGTTTTCAGTTGGGCACTTAATGCTCCATTTTGTGTCACGGAACAGAATTACTCTTTATTTTGGAACTAGGTATATGAACTGCACTCTAATTGAAGCAGGATGTTATCTTTAAAAGTTTGGACAGGTGTACTTGGAAGGATGGACAGAAGAAGGATTCTGGTTATCTCTTTGTTCTGATGCTTCAAACAAAAATTGCTAGGTTGATTGCTTTCTTGACAAGCTTAGTGTTTGTAGAATTGTACTGTAAATTAAAATTGTAATGTTTAAATTTAAATATTGAGATTACTTAAAATCAAAACTTGAAAATTACATTTAAATGAACTAGCTCTCAAACTTTGTTTTTGTGGGTGCTTGGTTAGTGTGTTACTTTAGGAACTTGCACAGAACATGGTATCTGCCCTTGGGATGTGGATCAGCCTAGCTACTTAAAGCAGTCAACGTTATCCATTATTGCCCTATCTGTTTTATAATAGAACCGTAGAAGGCTTTTCCTAAAAATACATACTCTTTAGTGTGGTGGTTATAGCAAAACTGAATTTTGAGGAAAATCTGACTCCAGGTCCTACCTGAACAATGTATTTTTACATGTCTGTGAGTACATTATTGGACCCCTTGATCACTCTAGTTGGGAAAACAGGTTATACAGAACTGAGATATTTTGGCTGTAAATTCATAAATTATTTCAGTATTTTTTAGTTGGTTTATAATTTAAATACTGCAGTAATCTAACAGAGATGGTTGATATATTGAGTTGGGCAGCAACTGAACACCTGCGTTATGCCATTCATTACTGACCACGAACTGAAGCTTTGCCATTGTTTTTGGAATCTCTGCAATTGTACTCATCTTGTCCTAGATCATATGCTTTGTGTTGTGATGTCTTAATGGCTTACTTCCTTCAGTAATTTGACAATGAAATAAGAAAAACTGGAGTTGTAAAAGATATTCCTGTTATTGAAAGAGTTTTTAGAGGCTCGCTGTAGTCAGATTGGATTTGCTGTGTTTGCCAGAAGTGGTGCTCACAACTTAATCAAGATAACAATATTCCCTGAGCCTCTGTAAAATGTTATCAACTATTTTAAAGTTGGTTGCATCATTACTGAAAAATTGACGTATATATACGTATATCTGTTTGGGGAAGGAATATTGTAACTTGCCTTTGTTTCCAGAAGATGAACACAAGTGAAGCTTACAAAGTCTCCCATCTTAAACTTTTCAGATAGCCGTGGCACAGAAACTTTTAATCTGTGGACTGTCCTTACTCTTCCACATGACTATTACAAAAACTTTGCCTGTGGAATACAACATTGATGATAACTTCCGAGCTACAGCATCATGGCCTGTAAGGTTTTTCTACCTGTATGTGTCTCTTATGGCTGCCAGACCCAAGTATTATTTTGCATGGACTTTAGGTAAGTATGTATATATAAAAAAAAAAGAAAGAAAGAACGTGTATGTATTGAGTTTAATTTGAGATGCTGCACACCAAGCATGTATTAAAAAGTGACAGTGCCCTCTTGAGGCCTTAGGAAAACATTATTATATTTAAGTATTACAAGGTATTGTCAAAGTACATTGAATGCTGTCTCTCTTTTTGAGAAACAAAACTTACCATAAATCTAAGCACAGTGTTGTGACAGTGTTGCAAATGAGATCATGGTCTCCTGAATAAATCTGAGTGAAACCTAAGGTTTTTTTGGAGAGTGATAGTGCTTTAATGAGCAATGACTTTTTTGGTTTTTAAAAATTGTAGTAAATCTGGTCTGATGTACAATTCCTGATTATTGGTTTTAATTTACTTATTTTAATACTTTGATTTTGGCATATCTGAAAAGTTACTCTAAGCCTCTTTCTGTGATTAGTTATCAGTAATTTGCTTAATGTTATTCAAGCATGAAAAAAAGATAAATATGTTGAAATTCAGTTATATTGTAGTGGTGCTAATAGTAGATGGCATTCACAGTTATATTTTCAGAATTTGATGGGTGACGCTTCAGTTTTAGTCTTTGTTTACTAAAAGTTCTAATTGACCCACAGGATAACACCCACAGTCACTGATTTAAGACACTGAATAGATGATATAGTTTAAAGAATGTTTTGCTTTTCACTTCAGGTTACTTGAAGAAAAACCCAACACATACAACAGCAAAATGCTGTATTTATGTAAGCTGACATCTTGGAAGTGGTTCACAAAACAGATTTCATCAGTTTCCTCCTCCTCTCCACTTTCACATGTTTGTTTCATAATTCTTTCAAGAGAGAATCTGTGTGAAACAATGCAATAAAGAAAGCCTTGGTGTAGCAGAGCAGCATGACTCATTTACAGCTGCTAGTTTCATTCCTGGTCAATGAATGAAGTGCTTTCAGCTTGTCTGGATATAGTAATTCTGGGGCTTCTTGTGGAATGAAATAATTTCAAATACTGTGCTCTTATGCACCAGTATCATAGTCTATAAAGAGTAGGAGTAATCTGAAAAATGAATAATGTTCGTTGCATTTTTCCCTGTAGTACTTCAGATGGATTTCTGCTTATGTACTTGCTAACATTCCTTTGGTAAAATACTGTACTTTTAGTTTGCTAAATAACTTTTTTTTTTAACCTTCTTTCTTCTACTTTACCTCACCTAAACTTCTAATAAGGTTTCGTAATGGTATGAGTAGAATGTGAGGGGGCCTTAACAGTTTCACTGGATATTATGTTTTCGAGTTGTACATTGCTGTTCTTTGCACTTAAAAGAATCTGTTAATAAAATCAATTACTTAAAATGAATACTTACTTAAATGCTAGTTAATAAAATGACTACTTTAGCCATAGTCTTTGTACTCTAGCTAGCAAGAAATTATGGAGTTCATGTCATCAGCTGTTTCCAATTGAGCATAAAATCACTGTCTAATGATTGAAGTTGACATCAGTGATATCAGATGTATAGCAGCAAATTTTGTTGCTTTTCAAATATGTTTTTTAAAACTGCTATTGATGAGCAAATAAAAATATTATAAACTACCCTATATTAAATCAAATGTCATAAAGCCTTCTTCCTGACCGGTAGATAACTGGAGAGACTGAACTTCAGGAAAGGAACTGAGTCAATTGTTTCTTTTACTTTCCAAACGCACTGGATTAATACGTTGGAAAAAGTTGTTGAGAAGAAAAGAAAAAGCAAAACATACTAATTTCTCTTACATGTCTCTGTTGTATAAAGTAAACCCTTTTTAATATGGTAATACAAACTGAGCAATTTCTCTTGCCTTACTAGCTGTAATTTAGAAGGTGACAATCTAATTACAGTGCTTCAGATGAATTCTGAGCTAACGGAGAGAGCTCGTGTCCTGTAACTAGAGGACTAGATCTGTATTGCTTCTGCAGAGCCTTTTGCCTACCTTGCTTCCAAATCCTCAGGACTCCTCTGAACTGGGAGAGGAGCTGGCATTCTTCTCCCCATGGTCACTTATTTATCCACTGAAGTGGATGCATGGTTAGGTTTCTGCCTCATGGACGTGTGCCCATGTTTGGGTGCATGCAACCAAGTGCTTGGCTCAACGGAGGCAACGTATGGAAAAAAAGCTTGTTTCCTTGCAATTGGCCATCTAGTTTGAGAAGTACAGCTGAGGAAATTTTAGTGTCTGAGCTAATAAAGCTGAGGCAAAGGTGATGATGGCAAGTGACAGACGGTACTCAGACTGTGACATCCCTTGTATTTTCCTACATATTCCACATGACAGTAGCAGGTTTTTCTCCTAGGGAAGAGTATTGTTGGCTTTGAACTATTTGACCTTTGGCATGCATCATAAGCACTTCACATTCAGAAGTTGTGTTAACAGTGGCCTTGTGCCATTAGTGGAAATCTGACAAACTCTGCATTGCTTAACGAATTACTGTTTTCTTCTGTTAGGCTGGCACTGCTCTGCATGTGGTGCTGCAACTGTGTACCTGCCTGACGTGAATCATGCAGTCATAGAATCATAGAACAGTTTGGGTTGGAAGGAATCCTTAAAAGTCATCTAGTCCAGTCCCCCTGCAGTGAGCAGGGACATCTTCAACTAGAGCAGGTTGCTCAGAGCCCTGTCCAACCTGACCTGGAGTGTTTCCAGAGATGGGGCATCTACCATCTCTCTGGGCAACCTGGGACAGTGTTTCACCACCCTCCTGGTGAAAAATTTCTTCGTTCTCTCCAGTCGAAGTCTGCCCTCTTTTAGTTTAAAACCATTACCCCCTTGTCCTGTCGCAACAGGCCCTGCTAAAACGTCTATCCCCATCTTTCTTAGAAGCCCCCTTGAAGTACTGGAAGGCTGCAAGAAGGTCTCCCCAGAGCCTTCTCTTCTCCAGGCTGAACAACCCCAACTCTCTCAGCCTGTCCTCACAGCAGAGGTGTTCCATCCCTCTGATCATTGCTGTGGCCTCCTCTGGACCCGCTCCAACAGGTTTTATCTATATACTTTAAACATCGCTGCTGCTGCATAACAAAGACCAGAGATGTGCATCTGAGTGTTGAGCTACTACCTCAAATCATTGCAACCAGCCACTGTTTTGCAGTCTTGGAGCATCTCATTGAGTTTGTTTTTCTGTCAAACTGCTCAAGGAAGTCTCAGTAGGTGGTATGAGAGAGAGGGAACAGCTGTACTGCAAAGGAGGTAGTGCTACTTTTCATTCTTTTGCTTTTGTGCAAGTTTTTCTATTGAAAGCCAATGTGTTGCTTGGGTTCTTTTCTGAGTGTCTAATACAGTGATCCTCAGTATTTAAAAAAAAATATATAGCTTTTAAAATGTGATAAATATTTTGAACGAACTCCATGTTTTGTGATGCACAATTTGTAAAACAGGCAGTTTATAATTAATTTGTTTCTTTTTGTTTCATTGCAGCAGATGCAATTAATAATGCAGCAGGGTTTGGTTTTAGAGGCTATGATAAAAACGGAGTTACACGTTGGGATCTAATATCAAATCTGAGAATCCAGCAAATAGAGGTTTGTTTCTGGCTCTTTGAAATAAAATACATGCCCATGTAGGTAGTTGCCTGTAATTTCAGTAACTTTTCCTACGCATTTTCTTCCTCAAGACAGTGAATATGTTCCAAGTCAGAAATGACGTGTTCACACCCTTAGGAAAGGGTGGAAAGCAGATTCTGTTTTGAATATGTTCTACTTCTCAGTTGACTTCCAAAATATTTTGTGGTTATAAGTAGTTGAGTAAATACCTTATCCAACTCATCAGAAAGTTGGGGGTTTTTTTTATAATTTACATGTCAGAATTTTGAACTGTTTTGTAACACTTTTTGTTTTGCTTTACAGTTTTCCACAAGTTTCAAGATGTTTCTTGATAACTGGAATATCCAAACAGCTCTATGGCTTAAAAGGTATTTATTTCTTAAAGGAAAGCTTTTTTCCACTCAAGTTTCTTAGATAAATATTTCTTTGAAGATTACTTAACATTTAAATCGAAACGCCACAAAACATCAGCTGTTTAGCAACTGTACAGGACATTCTTTTTGTAATACTTGAATTAAAGCCTCTGAATTTAGGACTTCTCCCTTAGTGTAAACTGTCAGGTTATGAAAGAAAGTGGTTTTCTTCACTGGTCGTAGGGAACCTAGAACTATTAATCTGCGGAGGCATCTCTTTTCTTTTTTTTTCTCTCTTAGCATTCAAAGCAGTGCATGTTGCTGAGAGCAGGCAAAATGTGTATCTCAGCCTGTGGAAGCTCTGCATTGTTTTTAGCCCCACTGTGATACAGGAACTTCCATACAGTCTACGAGAGAACTTTCTGTGCTCTTTCCATAATGAGTGCACGGCAAACATCAAACCCTACAATGTGCTATCAAAAAAAATTGCAAATGAGTATCCCTCAGATGCACATTTTTCCCTGTCTGGGAAACAGGTGCAGTGCCCAGTGAACTACATCATTGTGCTTTTACTACTACTTTCTGGTAACTAGAAAGTGAAAAAGTGTTCTTGAATAGTGTGCGCGTGTTGTTTCCCTTCTCCCAGTCTCTGTTTAGTTGATCTCTTACCAATAGGTGCAAGTTTAACTGAGACGTCCATCTTTAGATCACGCAGATGACTTTATCTGTTATTCTAGGACAGCTGGCAACAGGATGTTTCTTCCATGAAATTTTTTTTATAGTTTATTCTCTTCCTTTGATAATTTCTTCTCTAAATATTTTTCTGACCCAATTAAAAACAGAAAATGAATTTTATGTGATTAGTCTAGTTGGCTCCATAGGCAATAGAATCTACTGCTAGGACAGTCAGCAAGGAAGAATTGCATGCTTGCAGATATTGAAATATATCATTTACTAAAGCAAATAAGCTATTTATCTATTTTAAAATGCATTTTAATTCAGTTAGAGAACAGAAGTTTATCAGTATTAAAACCTAGTAGGAAAAGGTTGTGTTGCAACAAACTTTCAAATCTCCTAAATGGAATGATTCTAAATAGAAAACTCCTTTTTTGAAAGAATCGAAAGAAAAAAATGCAAATCACTTGCTCAGGGTGACATTGAAAGAAGATGTGAAGAAAAATTAAAGCATCTCCTTTAATAAATATTTGTAAGAACAACTGCAGAAGAATCTTTGAGGATAGTCTAAATCCATATTGATTCTGACATAGTAACAGAGAGAAGGGTGGATGATTTCTTAAAGTTTTGTTGCAAGGAAAAGATTGTTTTAATGATTATATATGAGGACCATAAATAGTGGTACAGAGTATGTATTGTATTACCGCCGTTTGGTTAGTTGCAATGCTACAGCAGCTTGAATAGAGGACAAGCTCGTGTATTACTTTAAACATCCACTTTCAATACCTCACTTGTTCACCATTTATAGAAGTACCTAAAATCTTAGGTGTTTATCTCACATGAAATACCAGACATCAGCATTTGTCCTATTCTTTTCTGACAGTCTCTAAAGAGAAACTGGACCATCAGAATTACAGGACTTAAACCCTGATTGTGTGTAAAAAGAAACTCCTGGTAAAACACAGTTAACAGTTCTACAGATCATAAAGAAGTTTAATAAACTCTTTATGTGTATCACAAAATACAGCAGTTCATAGGTGTGGTTACAAGCATGCAAGTTAAACAGATATTTACGTAGTAGCATATATCAACAGTATATATCATGATAACGTTTCCTGTCTGGGAAAGCCATTTCCCCTCAGCCTCTTTATTCTTTTTTTCCGAAGAAAACATCTAATTCCATTTGTCTTTGGTCGTATTTGCAAAACCTCTGTAGTTCTTGTTGCTCCTTCTGGCATGTTTCCAAACTTCCTGTCTTCTTACAGTGGATGTAGTACTTCTGCTGAGACTTCCAGGGTCTTTCCCTGGCTTGTTACAGGCAGAGTTGAATGATTTGAGTGGATTAATTACCTTTCTTTTCTTTAGATAACGCTCTTTCTAATACATCACAGTATTATATCTGTCTTTTTTGCAGCAGCAATCTACTGTTGAGTCATGCTCAGCTGATGCTCAGTGTTTTATACTGTTGATTCGTATTCATACTCGGCTACACTTTTACCGTAATGTTGCAGGGATGGGTACTGTTTTGCATCTTCCATTTTTCTTATTAGATGTTCTATACTGTAAGCTTCATTGTGTTGAGTTCAGAACATCATTCAAGTCTGTTAAGATCATTTTGGATTCTAGTGCTCTATCTGTTAAGAAAACAGTGCGCATCTCCTTTATTTCCCCAACACCCCTATGCCCCCCAAAAAGGGAATGCAGGGAGGAAAAATACACTTCTCAGTCTACCACCCAAGCTAGTAATAAAAGTATAGAACCAGACCAAATGCTTTGCAGGGGGAAATTTGCTTAGTTAAGGTATTTTAAACCAGATAAAGATTGAAGCCATTTATCAATTTATTAATGAGAAATAATTAACCACTAGTCAGTGAACTATACATCCAGAGTTAATATCCGTACTAGAACAGATTACATTTTGTACATACATGTTCAGTGTTCTGGTTTAAGAAACATTTCTAAACACTTGTGATGGTCTGACCCTGGCTGGATGCCAAGTGCCCACCAAAGCCGCTCTGTCCCTCCCCTCCTCAGCTGGACAAAATAAAAAGAAGATAAAACGAAAGGCTGGTGGGTTGAGGTCAGGGCAGGGAGAGATCAGTCAGCAATTACTGTCACGGGCAAAATGGACTTGACTTGGGGAAATTAGTCTAATTCATTGCTAGTCAAAATCAGTAGTAGGATAATGAGAACTAAAACCAAATCTT